ACATAACATGATGCATCTAGATACATAACTACAGGTGTACCCCACCCTACTCCTCCTGTTGGGCCTGACATAACATGATGCATCTAGATACATAATTACAGGTGTACCCCACCCTACCCCTCCCGTTGGGCCTGACATGACATGATGCATCTAGATACATATCTGAAGCTGTACCCCATGCTACCCCTCCTGTTGGGCCTGGCATAACATGATGCATCTAGATACATATCTGAAGCTGTACCCCATGCTACCCCTCCTGTTGGGCCTGACATAACATGATGCATCTAGATACATAACTACTGCTGTACCCCACACCCTACCCCTCCTATTGGGCCTGACATAACATGATGCATCTAGATACATAACTACTGCTGTACCCCACCCTACGCCTCCTGTTGGGCCTGACAACATGATGCATCTAGATACATAACTACTGCTGTACCCCACCCTACCCCTCCTGTTGTGCCTGACATCACTTTGTATCATTCTCTAGCAATACAACAATGATTGTAAGCTGTCTGCATCCCAAGAGATTCAGTGTGCAAAGACTGGTGACTTTGGCTGTACTAATGGGCAGACTACACAAAGCAAAGAGAAACATGTTAAACAAGGTGCATCAATAGTACTCGCCATTTGTAAAAGTTTTGTGTGTGATATTCTGTCATTTATTGTGCCTTTTTAGCATTAGTGACAAACACTTCCTAGCCATTCTTTCTACCATCCACCAATCTCATCTATCTATCCATTCATCCTATTTAAAAATTCAAGGTCAAGTACTTAGCGCTTGCTGCCAAACAAACACAAATCTTCAAACACGCCAGAACTGTTATCTCTTACTATAGTCAGCTAGCTGTGTCCTCAGTAATTTAGCCCTATCCATAAGAGCCAGAGGCCAATCTACAAATATCTCATCACGCTGAAAGATCTCTTAGTCACCTCGCTTTAAATGGGACCTATGGGTAATAATAATATGATAATGATATAATAATGATGATGATGATGATTTAAGATATCTTATTTAACTCGCTGTAATTGAGCATGTCCTTGATATCGCTGTCGGCTAGCCACTAGCTTTGCCCCTAAGGTGTGACTTGCTGCCTTTACCAGACAAACGTTAATGTGGTTGTTATTTTCACGCCTCTAATCAGTTCTTGTTAGACTTGCTGCCTTTACCAGACAAACGTTGATGCCGTCGTTATTTTCACGCCTCTAATCAGTTCTTATTATGAATACGATTTTTAGGAAATAGAAATTTATCGAAGGAAAGTGGTTACTTGGATGAGATAGAGGAGGAGTCCCTTCCGAGCACGCAACAGTCGTTACAAGAACACATTACCGAAAGACCAGGAGGACAAGATGATAAACAGAGAAGAAAAAGAGAAAATACAAATGTGAAAACAAACAAATGCACGTACTGCAACAAGGGATTCAAAAGAAAATGTCATCTTCAAAATCATGAGCGTATCCATACAGGTGTGAAACCATACAAGTGTAAATACTGTGACAAGGCATTTGCACAAAAAGGTGATCTAAAGGTTCACGAACGAATCCATACAGGTGTCAAACCATACAAATGTACGTACTGTGACAAGGCATTTGCACGAGTGAGCAATCTAAAGACACATGAACGTATCCATACAGGTGTCAAACCATACAAGTGTACATACTGTAACAAGGTATTTACACTCAAACGTAGCCTAAATGATCATGAACGCATCCATACAGGTGTGAAACCATACAAGTGTACATACTGTAAAAAGGCATTTACACAACCAGGTCAACTAAAGTTACATGAACGAATCCATACAGGTGTCAAACCATTTAAGTGTACATACTGTAACAAGGCATTTGCACATCAGTATAATCTAAAGACACATGAACGTATCCATACAGGTGTCAAACCATTTAAGTGTACTTACTGTAACAAGGCATTTATACAACAAGGTGATCTAAAGAAACATGAACGAATCCATACAGGTGTCAAACCATACAAGTGTACATACTGTAACAAGGCATTTACAGGACAAGGTGATCTAAAGACACATGAACGTATCCATACAGGTGTCAAACCATTTAAGTGTACTTACTGTAACAAGGCATTTAATAGAAAAAGTCATCTCTTAATCCATGAACGTCTTCATACGGGCCTTAAACCATACAAGTGTACATACTGTAACAAGGCATTTATACAAGCAGTTCATCTAAAGAGACATAAACGTATCCACACAGGTATTCAAACATAAAAATTGATAACTATTACATTAATAAATTTATTCAAAAGGCTCATTAGGTCATATTTTTCATAGTCTTATTTCTATTAATATTTGTTATTACTAAAATCTTTTATTTTTTTGTTAGTTTCACATTTAAATTTTCCAATTTTTCTTATGCATGTTTTCCTCTTAAAACCGGCCAATTAGCAGTTTTAATTCTAGCTTGATTGTATTAGTAGGATTTTTAAATATTATTATCGTTTATAAGATTGTAAATTGGTGTAGTAGACTTAGGACTTAGATATAGTCATTTTTTAAATTGTAAATTAGTTTTGCAGGGCTCCTTTGGATACCAGCTATGCTGAATGGGCCACCATATCTAAATAAATAAAAATTGTGAATGAGTCAGCGAACTATCAGCTCTAGTGGGCGATGGGGTGTACGTTTCTAATGCGTCCCCACTTTGTTATACACGCTCTTGTAGCATTGCATGTTTTTACACTGAAAGAACCTCTTGCCTAATCTTTATTATTATTATTATTATTATTATTATTATTATCATTATTATTATCATTATTATTATTGTTTATTTTACAACTTGTGTTTTACATATTGAAAGAATACATATTTATACACAAAACTAAGAAAAACAAAAAAAAATTGAAAAACACAACAGAAATCTAGTTGTGCCTCGGTTTGTACTATATTGATACTCTGGGCCGGGTTGTTCAAAGCCGGACTAACGCTAATCTAGGATTAACTCCATAGGTCTTATTAAGAGTTAACCCAGGATTAACACTAATCGGGCTTTGAACAACTGGGCCCTGATGATTAAGTCATGAATTTAATGCATCCTTTATTTTAGACCACTTCTTTAGACGTATTGGAATTTTATCCCTTTGCTTGGCCAATCTATATTCAAAGATGATAATATGTGGACCGCGTAGCACTTATGAAATACATGAAGATATAGAAATATAGATAAGTTATAGTACTTAGGAGTAGATATGAAATGAGGGTTCACCAACATGAGGAGCGAGGAGCCGGCGGAGCCAGGCTACCACCCCTCCCCCACGATTTTCCGGAGCTGGAGGAGCCACGCTCCAGACCACCCCACTCCTCCCCAACAATTGTTACTGACTGCTTTAAGAATGAGGAATGAATGAGGGGCCTCGTTTCTAAAATCCTTGTTGAATCACTATTCTGATCGGTTCTACGCCATGAGGAGCGAGGAGCCGGCGGAGCCAGGCTACCACACCTCCCCCACGATTTTCCGGAGCTGGAGGAGCCACGCTCCAGACCACCCCACTCCTCCCCCACGATTGTTACTGACTGCAAAAAGGAATTTAGGAACAAATGAGAGGGGGCTTCTTTTCTAAAATCCTTGTGTAATCGCCATTTTGATGGGTTGATACTTTCTCAACTGCTATATATTGTTTTGGAAATATATAAATTCATAATTTCATTCAGTTCGCATGAGGTTGATCTACTGTTGAGTATTTATTGCAATTTATTGCAATTTTTCTTTTACAACTACGGCGGTACACGTACTTAGCGATGAAACGTATTAACTCTACAAGAATTAAGAATAGGCCGACGTTTTTATTTACTTATTGTTTCCTTCAGAATGACAAAAACCCCAACCAGGGAATTGTGAGAAATGTATTACATGAACATAATATTAAAGAGCTCTTGTTCAAGTAAGATTTGAAGRAAMAAAAWGTRTTTTGAATTAATGAGGCTGTGAACTAYTTTCAGAACAAGGTTTTGATTGCATCACCTTTCTTGGGTTGACAAGGTTAATMCCCTCTRTCAAATGTTCTTTGTTTAAACAGCGGGAAATAAAAGTGCCTCTAATTGTTTTCAATGATGACGGTTTTTTTAAAGTGCCCCTGGTGCCCCTAGTGCCCCTGTGAGCAGAGCATGAGTAAAATGAGCAGGGCAGGAGCAAACATGAGCAGCGCATGAGTAAAATAAGTAGAACAAGAGGACATCTCTATAACTATTTAACTACATTTAATAAAGTTTCATTGCCAAAAAAAAAAAAAAACTTTTAATTTTTCTTTGCTAGTTCACTACCCTTCGACGTTTAAACAGTAGATCAACCTCATGCGAACTGAATGAAATTATGAATTTATATATTTCCAAAACAACATATAGCAGTTGAGAAAGTATCAACCCACCAAAATGGCGATTACACAAGGATTTTAGAAAAGAAGCCCCCTCTCATTTGTTCCTAAATTCCTTTTTGCAGTCAGTAACAATTGTTGGGGAGGAGTGGGGTGGTCTGGGGCCTGGCTCCACCGGCTCCGAAAATCGTGGGGGAGGTGTGGTAGCCTGGCTCCGCCGGCTCCTCGCTCCTCATGTTGGTGAACCCTCATTTCATATCTACTCTTAGGAACGAGGTTATTCCGGGCGAAAGCCCTTGGAATTAAATTCGGAAAAATTAATTTCTCGACCTCCCAGCGAGGTCGGAAATTAATTTTTCCGAATTTAATTCCAAGGGCTTTCGCCCGGAATAACCTCATTCCTAAGCACTATAACTTATCTATATTTCTATATCTTCAATCTATATTCACTTCTTTCCTTTTGGCTTATCACATTTTTGTAAAGAGATAAAGACGGAATTTTTCTTTTCTCTCTTACTTTATAGAAAGAAATCTTGTACATCATTAGAACATGATTAATAGTACAATCGTCAACAGCAAGAATAACATAGAAACGATTGCAGACAGGAAGATAAATGTCATATATTTCTAACCAAATCCTCATTTCAAAATAATAATTTTTGGATTCTATGCATTCCACCAAAAGATGGTCAATTGTTTCGGGATGAAGAAGGCAAAAACAAAAAACAAAACAAACAAAAACAAACAAAAACGGTAAACAGACAATGTACAACTGAATGTAGGATTCAGAAAACTGTAGGGTTTGATTCAAGAATGAAACAGCTAGCCCGTGGCCGCCTGAAAAATGCCGTTCGAGCTAATTTTTCAAACT